GGATTTCAAGTTTGCTAATGAAATGTGAAAGGCGAATTGATCAACATGACACGAGCGTGCAGGTGGGACAAAGAAAAAATCTGAGTCCCCGACATGAATCAAACCCATGACCTCCCGACCTTGCGCTCCGTGAGTTCTGGTAGCTCAGTGGATAGAGCGCCCGCCAGGTGTTCGGGACGTCACGGGTTCGATTCCTATAGGGGAATCAGACTTTTTCTTTGTACCACGCTCGTGTCATGTTGATCAATTCGCCTTAAAAAAAACAAACAAACAAACAAACAAAAAAAAAACAAAAAAAAAAACAAAAAACGATCCTGTGGGAATTGAACTCTTTTCTTATGAAAACAGATCCTTTTGTTTCAATAAATTTGCATGGCTCCTGACCACGCGAGTGAAAACGCTCTATATTGACCTGCGTTTCCAATGAAACATGATTCGACTATACAGTATATAACCTCGCGTCTCTAGCAGCTATACCGATACGTACAAATATATAGTTTAACATGGGGCTGGAGGACAGTTCAGGTGTACCTTTTTAGAGGAACACTGATCACGGTCTTCTGGTTTCCCTAGTCCTTTTATTACCTTCTTTTAAAGTAAGAGAGATAACTTTTGATGGAGTGTATCTCGTTTAGTCCAACTCAGTAATTTTCAGGTAGCCCAGTGTGTTGGATGCAACCATCTTGTTACTTCTTACAAGCAAAACTGAATTTACGCCATGCCCTCCAAACTGCAAACAGACCCTTTACGGATTTTTCCGAAATTGGTCCACGGTCATCTCTGTTACTTTCATATGAAGGGAAGTTTACTTGTAGAACTTATTGACCTCAGGTGTCGATTAATAATAATACATCTTGCTGTATTAAACCAACTATAGGAATTTAACCTGTGTTAAATTTAAAAAACGCACGTGATCGTACGCGTGTAGTACCATGAGCGCCTGCTTCAGACGAAGCTGGTTCAAACTACTGTATGTCGAATACATAACTTTCTAGTCGAATTTTACTAGCAACGTTTTCCAGCCTACTGTAGGGACAGTATATATTCATCATTAGTATAATTTCCAGAGGTGAATATAGGAATTGGACATTCTGATTGGTCGAAAAGCTCGGGTTATGACGCTATATTCACTGCGCTTGGCGATGAAAATAACATTTCTGAGCTTGGTTACTAAGCTCGCCCTTTTGCCATCTCGGCAAGGAGACATGGCGGACAGTTGCGGAATGAAATTTTCATTTAGTCGAAAGCCATCACTCCAAGTCCAGGATATTTGAAAGGATGGAGAATTTTCAAAATGACTGCTGTCGCCCTTGGACCAAATATCTTTTTAAGAACTCGTTTTCAAACGTTGATCGTCAGCAGGTCAGATCGATTGACTGAAATTTATTTTTCTTCCAACTAAAGCTACTCATTTTTAGACGATTATGACAACTGTGAATGAAGTCAACAACGATAAAACAAAGGTACCGGATGAATTTATTGTTTCTGGTGTTTTGCTTGTTAGTTTTGCTGCCGAACTCGATGCGTAAATTGATTCACAATCAATGTATAGTACATCTGTGCTTATTATTAAAACTACGGCTGCATACGTGTATGCAAATAATCAATTGAGTCTGAGTTTTTATGTTTTAGTCCGTTGTTTTGTAGTCTGAAAATTATGCTAAAACAATTATTCGCCTTAGACTCAGATCACGTTGGTGAATATTAACCTCGAAAAATGAGATCTAGGCTGTGTAGGTATAGGTAGGGTATTAATGAGATGTATGCTCTGTAGGTATGTATGGGGGATTAATGAGATGTGCGCTGTGTAGGTATAGGTAGGGGATTAATGAGATGTATGCTCTGTAGGTAGGGAGGCGCGGTGGCCTCATGGTTAGTGCGCTCGTCTCCGGATCGAGCGGTCCGGGTTCGAGCCCTG